GCGAATAGCAAACTGGCATTTAAATATCTGCATACATACATATACATACATACCTAACCAATTATGCATGTACGCTGAATTCGCCGACAAGCTTTTTTAAAAACGAAGTGAATTAGTACAAAATGTTAGTAATTTTCATTAGAGTTTGAATAACTCCATTCACTAAATGGCTTTTAGTAACTTTAAGGAGACCTTAACTTATTTTATTTTATTCATTTTAGTGCAGTTTTGACAAAATTTTCTTGCTAAAAAATCTTTTGTTACACTACTTCATTTTATTCCTTTGATTGTACAGGTTAAATAAAAGCTTGTTTTAAAAATATATATTTTTTTTACACTATTTTATTTTATAATTTTCAGTCCATTTATAAAAGCGTTGTATATTAAAAAGTGTTATTTTATTTTATGTACAAAATTTTGCAATAGATATTAAATAAAATAATTCAACTTGCAATGAAAGAGAACAGAAGACTTGGCAAGCAAAATGTTGTTTGCTTACGTTTTGTATAAACATACATATGTATATATAAGGTGCAATCTCGTATTCCTCGGACTCGGACTAGTAAAACTGTCAAAAAATAAAAATTCGCTCAGAGCGAGAGAGTAACATTGAAAAGTACGGGATCGCTTTCTAGTAAAAAATGGTAACTTCTGTCAACTTCAACAGAACCTCCAAAATTTGGTTGTAAATTTTTGCTTATTTTCTATATAAACACACTCAGCTCACACATGTAAATAACCAAAAATACTTTCAAATTCATTAGAATCCACTTAAACAAGTAAATAAATACTTTTCAACATGAATTAGCAGAGTGCACTTTTCTTTTGTTTACAATTTGGTTGCCAAACACACTACAGCTGATCGTTTGACGCATTTACTAGAATTTACCAGCAAAAAATTCTCGGACTAAAACTGGTAACTTCTGACAGAGAGAGAACCGTATTTACTCTCTTTTTTGTCCTCTCAATAGTCAGAGAACCGAGTACGTGATCGATTTCCAGTAAAATCTGACTGATTCTGATTATTTCTGACTAGTCCGGACTCGTACGGGATCGCAACTATAGCAACAGTTAATTTTATTTAAAGAAATGGCGTGTCGCCCATTTCCGCTGTACAATGACATATATTTAGGCGCAATATTTAACTTCTTCTGGGAGGGCGACATCTGGAGTCTTTTAATTGTATCTCCTTGATATGATGCCTACAACGAGGTTCATATCTAGTCTAGGAATTGCTTTGCTACACTACCGCCGCGGCGCGCCGGCAGCGTTAACAAATTTATAGTGGTTTTACGTTCTTTGGCAAATTACGCTCTGTTAGCCATAAATCTTACTATTTTTTGACCGCCTTTGAATCAGGACCCCTGGACCATATGGAGAATTCATTTACATTTTAAATTGCATTGTCATCATGATTGGAACTATGCTGAAAATTTCAAGTCCCTAACTTGTCGGGAAGTCAGTTTAAAATCGATTGGAAATTTCCGCGATTTGCGCGGGATGACCAAATTAAATAAAAGCTTATAATTATAAAAATAACCACTCATGCTCATGAAGCCGTAGTTGCGTATGTAACGTATACGACCGTAACACCATACGCGGCCATCCAACTCGGTTACTCCCACGCCTTAACTTAAAACTCGTATGAGTCATATTTAAAAAAAGTTAAATATTGGCGTTGGAGTTTTTTACAAAGTGTTCATTATGCACATATTTATTTCCTTCTTCTTGTATATAACAATTTTAGACTGAATTCCGAGTAAACCAATAACCATTGTAAAAATGGATTTTTAGTTTCTCAAATCATAGTCATCTACCACTCAATGTTTTTGTTTGTTCATTTGGTGAGACACTAGTCTTATTATACTAGAATCGTTCGCTTTGCCAAGAAAAACATTTTCACTGTTTATTGTTGACATTTTGAAATATCTTAGGGCCGGTTGCTCAAAGCCTGGTTGACATAATCTCCGGTTAAACATCGTTATCAACGTTACCGACACCGTGTTAAATACATGGAGTCGAAGACGTCGATAACTATGTTAACTGAAGGTTAGTGTCAACCATCCTTTGAGCAACCAGCCCTTAAACTTTGAAACATGTTTATAACAATTTTGGAATGAA